GTATTGGTGGCACCCAGTCACCGTGGCTTAGAGAAGTTGTTAATTTTTTCACGTTCAGTGTTCCGTTGTGTCAGTTTAAGGTTTTTGTGTTTCATTGAAATATGTTTTGCTTCACTGGTAGATAATGGCATTATCAATCAACTTTTCAGTTTCCTTGTGATGGCTGATTGGCTGTTTATCTGTCTTTCCCAGAAGTGAGTCTGGCTTTATGATCATTTAAACCCTCTTTTTATCTCTTTTGTTTAGATCATTACAACAGAAGAAGCCGAACGCAGAGGTCACATATATGATAAAGAAGGCGCCACCTATCTTTTTGATCTGGATTACGTTGATGACGAGTACACCGTGGATGCTGCTCACTATGGAAACATCTCTCACTTTGTCAATCACAGTGTGAGTGGACTTGAGATCCTTGCATCATCTTGTAAACAACTGACTTGATGGCAGTTAAACTGTAGCTTTTTATCTGAGGGAAGTAAATTGAATATCACAAAAGTTTTATTTTTTCTCCTCAGTGTGACCCCAACCTCCAGGTATATAATGTGTTCATTGATAACCTGGATGAGCGGCTGCCACGGATAGCGTTCTTTGCCACACGTGGGATAAAGGCAGGAGAGGAACTCACATTTGACTACAACATGAAAAGTAAGTGTGGGACCTTACAGAAAAAGAGTGTGTACAACATGACAAGTCATTTGGGGTCATTTACCATTTAATTATTTAGATCCAATTGATTCATACACTACCGTTCAAAAGTTTGGGATGAGTATCTGTTTTTTTTAAAGAAATTTATATTTGTATTCAGGAAAGATGCATTAAATTGATTGACAATAGAGACATTTGTAATATAACAAAAGGTTTCTTCTTTAAAAAAAAAAAAATAGAATCTGTTTCTTGAGCACCAAATGAGCAAATTAGATTGATTCCTGAAGGATCATGTGACACTAGAGACTGGACTGCTGAAATTCAGCTTTGCCATCACATGAATAAATTACATTTACTTTTTTAACTGTATTTTTTGTTTAATGTTCCATTGAACTGAGTGTCATTCACTAAATTATATATTTTTCAATATAAATACAGTATTTTTCATTTTTTTTAAGTAGAATTTGTTTTTTTCTGTCATTTTTTCCATAGTTGATCCAGTAGATGCAGAGAGCACGAAGATGGATTCTAATTTCAGTCTGACAGGACTCCCAGGCTCTCCTAAAAAGCGCATGCGCGTAGAGTGCAAATGCGGGGTACCGACATGTCGAAAGTACCTCTTTTAGAGGAAGTCCATGCTAAATAGGGACTGAAAGAAGATCATGTGTTCCAGTGAATGTTGAAAGCATCTGCAGTTTAGAAACTGTTTTGGGATGTGTTTTGAAATACTTCATTGAATTTTAAATATATATTTAAGAATTTTTTTTATTTCCCCAAGATCAACCTCAACTTTTTCCGTAGAATTGTTGTCTTCCGTGTTTAAATAGTGTATAAAATGTAGCAATACTTTTTCAATTTGTCCGTTAGAAAAGTTTGTAAAGTAAAAAAAATATTTTCAGTAATAGTTTTAAACCCATATTTTAATTAATATCAAGCTTTGACTCCATGGAATTCTTAAAGAAAAAGATTTAACTTTTTTTTTTTGAACATTGAAATGTTCATATGCTTTATCTGTTTGAATAGAAGCGATTCTCTTTTTACTTTTTCCAACAAACTTTTGTAGTCTTACTTCTTGCCCTATTTTTAGGAAATATCTTTAGGCCAGTGCAAAATAATCAAAAATCTATAATGTCCTTCCTTCTATTTTTTTTTCTTGACCTCAAATTTCCACCAGGGGGCAAAATTTTATTATTAATGCACAGAAGGGGAAAGTTTGTTAGACTGAAGGAGGTGGACCTACATGAAATGTTGCCTTTTACGTATACAAAATGTTATCATTCTGTGTTTTGTGTGTATATAGTCTAACAAAATATATTCATACTGTCAAACTGTTTTTTCAGTGACTGTATTTGAGCGCTGGACTTAACAGACGCATACGTGAATGCACGTGCTTAACTTTGGTTATTATTTCACAGGTCTATTCAGGGCTGTTTCCCAAAAGCATAGTAAGCCTATTGTTGATAGCGGTTCATACATCATTCTACTTATGCTTTTGGGAATCACAGCTCAGGTGGTTTTCAGAACTGGACCATGAAGCTGGAATGTGTGCTGTAGATTAATGTGAGATGATAAATTCTGGATTAACCAATGCTCAGGACCATTTTGCTTAAATGTAATCAATTCACACAATTCTATAACTATCGTTCAACCAAATCTGTGCATATGTAAATATTTAAAGACTACCACTTGTTATTTTTATTGGTTTTGCATTAAAAAAAAATAAAATCAAGACGCCTTGTCAGACCTCACATTTATCTCACACTCATGAATGTGTAACAAACTATGTTGTTCATTAAATTGTATCATGAGTTCCACTGCTCTATGAATATAACTGTTTAATGCCAAAGTTTAATTGATTTCAGTTTGGATAATTTCATTTTTGTTGACATTAACAGCAAGATTGATCATCTTTATGTGAAGAGCTGTACACAAAAAAAAGCTGTGAAATAAACATCCGTTTTTATGAGTTACAAACTTTTATTTCTACTTTGACATTGACAAAATACATGTGAATATTTAATTATTTAGCACAGAATGTGTTCACAACCTTGTTTGCACATTTATTCAGTGAGACGACGAAGTAATAAAATACGTGACTTGATATCTTTCGTGTCAAGTTTTGGAAGGGAATCAAGGGTCAAAGATTTCTTGAAGGAACAGTTCTATCCTCTGCCTACAATGGTGTTTAGTCACCCGGTAACCTGATGCCGTGACTTCAGTGCAATGTGTGACCTTTTGGGGTATCAGAGGCTTGGGGCACGGTTTTAAAGATCACTGCAAAACGCCATATACTTGTCTGCTAACTGACAAGAAAGGTAAGCATTTTTAACCCTTTAGGAAGCAGAGGTGTAAAACGCCATACTCTTCAAGATTAACATGTTTACTCATTTTAAGTTCATAGACAGAATGTGTGTAATCAAAGTCACAAAATGACCACATACAACATCAAACAGTGAAATTAAGTGAATAAACGTATAAACGCAAGTGTCTTTGAACATTTCTTACCTACATAAATGCTCTGCTTAGTTCGTAGACGTCTACACAGACTAACTCCTCACTGAGAACAAGCAAAACCTCACATTTAACTAAACTTGAAACTCAAACTTTTCTAAATTTCTGCTCTGCAATCACCTGCACCATTAGTCCAGTCTCGCCCCCCCTTCTTATCACACATAAATCCACATACGTGCACCATCAAGTCATTCCACTCACAAGTGACTCCCATAAAAGCCAAATGCAATCTTCAGTAGCTACTGTATGCATATATAGAGAAACTCACAAAATAGACACATTTTGGTAAGTATGAATCAATGAGCTGAGCCACATTCCAATGGCCAATCATGTATGAGGTGCACAGTGATGTCATTCAGCCAAAATACACATTGCTTATTCAAACTATTATTTTTGGTTGCAAATAAACCACTGCAGTTTTTATAATGGCAATCTGAATGATAAACTACTGTATACGTCAAGCAAAATCTCAACTCCTAAATTTGAAAACACTAACTCTCACTCTAATACCACAAACACCAGATCTGATTGCATGTAAATATTTTTTTGGAATTCCTCAAGGCACTGGGGGAAGAGGAAGAAGGTAAAGTCTTAAAGCTTTGTAGAAGAAACAGATGGAGGGGAAATTAAACTGGCATTGAACTTAGAACCAGAGGGACAACAGGAATAATCCCACACACAGAAACGCACTGGGCTCTTGAATCCCAACAGCCAGGCAAATAACAGCACTGAAGAAGGTCGCGGAGACCATCAGACACGTGTCCAGAGAAACCTCAGTCTGATCCTTTGATATCCGAGATAGTTCAGTGCCGGGTCTTGGCAGTGTGTGCTGGGTTTCAGGGTTTTTACATATCTGATATGGAGCAGTAGACGTTTCATCACCCTTAAAAGTTATATCATCTTCTGCTGAAGAGTTAACGGTTGAAGACTGAAGATCGACGGCTGTTGGTGATGTTTCAGAAATGCTGGTCAGCTCTGGCTTTTCTGGTTTGCTTGTTGGATGCTCTGGAATACACATTGTAATAGTTTGGTTATCAAGTTTTGGATCCTCAGGGTGGACTGAGGCCAACATGCTCGGATCCAAGACAAGTTCTTCCTCTTGCTGATGTTTCATGTTTGCCGGCTTATCAGAGTCTGGATGGATGAGTAAACTTTGGGATTCTTTGTCCGGTCTTGTGGGACCTAAATGAGATGGGAACAAACAGGAAGCCTCCAAACCATCTGTTTCCTCATCATCATCCATCTTGGTACTTTCCACCTCAATCGTCTTGATGGTATCGACTCGGACCGAAGAGACAAGTTCTACTTCGTGTTCTTGAATTCCTTCCTCCAGGGGGTGCTGTAATCCCTCTGATAAATTGAGCTTCTCCACATCTTTAGTTGCATTGTTTACCTCCTTTGATGAAGGAGGCTGCTTGGCTTCTTCCAACATGTGAAAGCAAGTCCCAGTTTTATCTTCTTCTACATTACTACTTGGTTCTTCTAGCACATCTGCCAATGTGGCATCCTTTTCTACAACATCTTCCTTCACCTTAACATTCTTCATACCTTCTTCCAGGATTTGTGGCATGTCTGGAAACCTAGCCAGTGATGGTTGGCTTAACTTGAAAGGCACTTGTGCTAACATCTCAGTGTGGAAATCGTCCTTCTGTGAATGAAGGGATTGGTCAGGTTTACTGGAATCCTCAAATTCATCCTTGGTTGTTTCTGGGTGAGCATAATGGTGTATGAGAACTGCAGGAAGGGGAAGGGCCAAGGAAGGGCCAACATTATAGACTTGATCTTGTGGCTCAGAGAACTGCTGTGTTGAACGTGACTGGGGGATAGATAGAGTTAACGGCTGAAGTCCAGACTCTTCTGTTTGTGGTAAATTATTGGATGACATTGACTCAAGTGCAAGTGGTTCTCCGAGGGGAGTATCTGAAGTGGACTGAGGACATCCTGCTGTGGAGGAAGTCCTGGTGGACTCTGGAGAACTGGACAATTTCTTGGCAGTCTGCGACAGAGAGAGAAAAGTAAGAGAAAAAAAAAAGCTTGGATTCCAAAGAATCAAGAATGTATACTGTAGGCAGTAAACACTTTGTTTTGCATTTATGAATCTGAATTACTACCAACTAACAAAAAGTGTAAGTTGAATGGCACAAACTTGAAATTCAATATGCATTGCTGTAATCATTTCTTGACTGCAACTAGTTGGAGAATCAAGAGAAATTGGATTTGCTAATGCATATTATTATTATTATTATTATTGACACCAGCACTGATTATGAGCACAAATTATCTACTGATATTAGTATAGAAGTTTTCTATTAATGTTTAATACATGCTGTTTTCTAGACAGTATCAGTTTATCAACACTAATAATTGTAGGTTAAAAAGATAATTTAACAAAGAAAAAATGAATACGAATATGAAGACATAATTTCACAGAATTAAAAAAAAAAGTAAATATATAAGCAAATAAATAAATAGTTGAACTACCTATAATGCCTTCATGTGAGCATGAAGTTTGTGCCAGTTCTTTCTGGCTCTTTTCCCAGAAGCCTGTGCCAATGAGATTAGGTTAATGGAAACAAAACCTTTAAAAGTTCTGAATGTGATGTGACACGATCTTGTGACAAAATTACACAAGAATTAAAAGCAATGATGAGAAAAGTGATGTTGAAAAGGTTTGGGGAATGCTTTTTAACTATGAATTTTGTCTGCTTAAAGTTGTGCAGGGCAAATCTCAGGGTAAACATGCAATGATACTGACAATATTTACATAGACTAAACACAGAAATACAATTCTATATATATATATATATATATATATATAT